GAAATTGATTGCGTTGAAACTGGTGGCTGTACTGACGCTTGCTGCTGTGTTGTCGTCTGTGATTGTTGCTGTTGCGTTGCAGGTGCAGTCGATGGAGCACCTGGAGTATTCACAGAAGGCGGATTCTGATGTTGCATACCAATATTGGCGTAGGCTGGTGGAAAGTGCCCAGAGGCTGAGAGACCAGCGGCCGTAGTGGAGGCATGTGCTCCAGTAGTCCCAGTAACTGATCCGGCAGATGGTGCTGGTGATGAACCAGTCATAGTTGACGGTAGTCTTAATTCCAGATAGCTCTCATACCATGAAATAAATCTCCTGGTGTTGTAGAAGACTAAGTATAAAACTATAAATGCGAACACTTGGCAAACCCTCAAGTGTTGGTCCAGGATCTTTGCTGGAATGGTACACTAGTAAGACAGCGGAAGTCTTGTAATATGTAAAGGTCAAGGTTGAATAATCTGAGTACGTGAACTTGTGAGTAATCAAAGTTAATCAAAGTTAATCAAAGTTAATAATGAAAAAGACCTGACAAGGATTTATAGTTCTAGGAAAAGTACCTATTCGCTAATGTACCTGTTCGTCACTATCACGCTATGCGCCCTAGATGATAATGAAGAGGTGCGACTGTTCGCGTGACTGAAACGAGTGTCCTATGACGAGCGCTATTTGCTGACGTCATCCTACGGACTTATGTTCTACAGGAAGATTCGACACGAAATACACTTAATCGACTTACAGAAATGCTAAGTACCAATTTTATCACAACACCTAAGTCTTCTAACATGGAATCAGAGCTGTTCGTTCCTTGTGGGCCTGCTCCTCACACTTCCGCCGCGCTCTTCTACTCTCTCTCTCGCCCTGCCATGGCGGCCGCGTCAAGCTGCTATGGCCGCGTCGTGCTGCCGCGGCCGTCGCGACGCACTGCCGTCGCGTCGCGCTGTCGCGGCATTGCGTCAAGCCGTGGCAGCATCGTCATCGACGCCAAGCCGTGGCGGCGTGACGGCGCCGTTACGTTGCCGCGGCGTCTACGCGACATCGCGCGGACGGCACGGACGGCAGCGGCCAGCGCCCCGTCTTAGCGCTGGCCAGCACGCTCGCATGCAGCCAGCGCGCCACACGGGGCGGCATGCCCTCGAGCTCCGCTGCTGAAGCCCCGCCCCCCTTCCCCTGCGTCTCCTCTTCCTTGCCGCAGCCGACGGCTGACTCGTGCCGGCCGTCCCACCGTCGCGGAGCCCGGCCACGCCGCCGAGTGCTGCGAGCTCCGCCGCCGCCGGCAGCTGTCGTCGAAGCCGCCGCCGCCGCAGCTGGCCACACCGCCGCACGCCGCCGCCGCAGCCGCTGTCGACGCTGCCGCCGTCGCCGCCGTTGCAGCCGCTGCCCTCGTTGTCGACGTCGCCCCACCTCACGCGCCGTAGGGTTGACCGTGCTGAAGTCGCTATCGCAGCTGCTGAGTATGGGGGTGCTAAGGGGGTGTGTGGCTTAGTGTGCTGTGTGTCTGGCAGGCTTGCCATTACCAAGCCTAGGGGGTGTGTTAGATTATATTTGTTATATAATTGTAGGCTTGGTAGGTTATCGAACTCTACTGTAGAGGGTACAACTCCCTCATATGCCTGTCTCTCTTCTAGTTCACCCTCTTTTCTCTCATCAAACTTTCCCTCCCAGCTCCTAAACCTCTCGCCATTTCATGGCCGCCTTCCTTCTTAGCTAAGTTAGTCTTCTAACAGAGACTGCCAGGTCAGCCAGGGCTAGCTGTAGCAGTTTCTAACGCGAAATTCCAGCCAGCGCGAATTGCGCTGCTGGCTGATGAGGACCTCCAGAGCAGAGCCTGCCCTAAACTTTCAGAGAGCCTGCCCGATTAGGGTTCCTAGCCGTTTATGCACAGATTTCGACGGTAATGAATGTCAACTCATACATATTTGCATATGTAGTAGTTATAGGCTAGAAGGGTTCGTGCTCTTAGGGAGTACAACAACTTACCAAATATTCCCTTGTATGTCTTCAGTCTAGTTCTTCGGTTACTCTGAGATGGTATCAGCTAGGTTAGGTCCGCTCAATTGCGCTTCCGCCCTAGACCGCCCTAGCCGCCCTAGCTTACCCTAACCCGCCCTAGCCGCCTTAGCTGGTCGCCTGCCCCTCGCCCGCTGGCCCCGCACTCGCCGTCCTTAGCGCGCCGGCCCCTCTGTCAGCATATACATATTATGTGTGTGTGTGTGTGTGTGTGTGTGTGTGTGTGTGTGTGTGTGTGTGTGGGTGGGTGTGTGTGTGTGTGTGTGTGTGTGTGCGTGCGTGCGTGCGTGTATGTGTGTGTGTGTATGTGTGTGTGTGTGTGTGTGTGTGTGTGTGTATGTGTGTGTGTGTGTGTGTGTGTGTATGTGTGTGTGTGTGTGTGTGTGTGTGTGTGTGTGTGTGTGTGTGTGTGTGTGTGTGTGTGTGTGTGTGTGTGTGTGTGTGTGTGTGTGTGTGTGTGTGTGTGTGTGTGTGTGTGTGTGTGTGTGTGTGTGTGTGTGTGTGTGGTGTGTGTGTGTGTGTGTGTGTGTGTGTGTGTGTGTGTGTGTGTGTGTGTGTGTGTGTGTGTGTGTGTGTGTGTGTGTGTGTGTGTGTGTGTGTGTGTGTGTGTGTGTGTATGTATGTGTGTGTGTGTGTGTGTGCATGTGTGCATGTGTGTGTGTGTGTGTGTGTATGTGTGTATGTATGCGTGTGTGTATGTGTGTATGTGTGTCTGTGTATAGGCTAGGTAGGTGTACTACAAAGTACGGGTTCCTATTGTAGAGAGGACAACCCCCTTTTTGTATCTCTCACTTGTCTAGTCAAATCCCTTTTCTCTCGCTACTCTTGCCTACCTAGCTAAACCCTCTTCTAACATGGTTGAGAGCAGGTCCTTCCGCTCGGGCCTTCTCTCCACGCTTCTGCATAGCACTCTTTCCTCTCCTCCCACTGTCGCGCCGCCGCGGCAACCTCGTTGCGCTGCAATGGTGGCCTCATCGCGCTGCCACGACGGCCTCGTCAAGCTGCTGTAGCGGCCTCGACACGCTGCGGCGGCCTCGTCGCGCTGCCGCGGCGGGCTCTACGCGCTACTACGGCGGCCTCAATCCGCTGCCGCGGCGGCCTCGTCGCGCTGCCGCGGCGGCCTCGACGAGCTGCTGCGGTGGCCCCGACGCGCTGTCGTGGCGGCCTCGTTGTGCTGCCGTGGCGGGCTCGACGCGCCAGCGCACGGACGGCAGTGGCCAGCACGCTGGTTTAGCGCCAGACAGCACGCCCGCACGCCAACCAGTGCGCCAGCTAGTGCGGCTTGCTAACTGGCTTTGACGCCGAAGACCCGCACCCTCCCCTACGTCCGCCTTCCTCCCCGCCACAGCTGACGGCTGACTCGCCCGGTCCTTCCCCGCCGTCGCGGAGTCGTGCCACACCGTCGGGTGCCGCGGGCTCCGCCGACGCCGCTCCGTCGTTGAAGCTGCCGCCGCCGCAGGTGCCGCTGGCTCTGCCTCCGCTGCTGTTGTCGCTGCCGCCGCCGCTACCCTCACTGCCGACTTCGTCGCCTCGCTTGCCGAAGGGTCGAACGAGCTGAAGAAGCCATCGCTGCTGTTGGGTATGGGGGTGTTAGGCCTAGAGGGTGTTGGTCTTAGAGGTGCTTCGTATGTGGTGTGTTGTGACTTCTTCTTACTACTCAAACCAGACTATTAGTGCTGCCCTGGTCTCTTGCTTCTGTGCATAGCGTCTACCCTCTCTGACGCCCCTACGCCCGCTGATTCTACTCAACAATTCTAACTTTAAGATGTAGTTCCTAGTTTGGGTGCATTCATGCCATGTATCTTGCATCTGGCCAACCTCGCGTCCCAATCTGTGTTGCGCCACGCAGTACTGCCATGTGTGAGATCAAACAATATGCAGTGCCCTGTACCACGAGAGCCAGACACTTGATGTCTGGAAATGTTAGTCAATAACATATTCCACGTATCACTCTAGTACAAACCTGAAGAATTGGGTCACGGTGTGAGTGATGTGCTTCCAGGCGTGTGGCACATTCCTATGGCCTCTTGTCAGGCGCATGTAGAGAGGCCTCCATCTAGCTGGCAGATCAACTTCATGTGGTGGTGTGTTAGGATATGGTAATACGTTATCTACATTAGGTTATTCGAAATATTTTATTTTAGCAGTCGATGATGCTTCTACATGTTGGTACACGGATACTGCTGTTTCGGAATCTTCTTGGGCAGTCACAATCGACGGTCTCGATCCCCGATCTGAGTCGTCGGTTCACCTATTGCAAGCCCACTTTGTTGTGGCCAATAGGGAATGCGGTGTGGGGGGGCGAGGGGGGTGGGTGGGGGGAGTTATCCCCACCGGCGGTCATTCGACCTTGCGTGGAATGAACACTGGGTGAAAATAAACATCGGGGGAAAGGGGAAGCCCCGCGCAAGCACTGTTTGCAGCTGGCATGAGTTGGGCGCACGTGTTGCCCACTCGTGATAAGAGTGGTTCCTCGAGTGCTCAAGGGGGCCGCTTCGGCTCCGAAAACCCAAGCCGCGTCGCGGGGCGCTTGAGGGACCCTTTGATGCACACTGGCCCGCAAGTGGCTTTTTTCTTCGTTGAATTCGCGAATATCAAGGCGCACACCTTTATTGTCTTTTCGAAGTCTCTCGTTACACAAGATCGAACCATCAAAGTAACGAAATTTGTTTTCGTTAGTGTTTTGAACCGTCAAAAGTCTCGAACAGGGTATCGAGTTAACCTTCGCCAGCCATATGGCCTGTCGAGTCGCATAAATCTCGCGACTCGTTTTGCGATTCGAGAGGCAGCAGCTGGCATTGACAGGAACACAATTCCTTCATGGACTCCCACGAACTTGCATGTCCATGTGCGGAGTGGGGTTTCCGCCTTTCCTTGCATCCTCCCTCAATTGCTTTCCTCCCTCTCCTCGCCTCTTGCCTCCTTGACTCCCTGTTGAGAGCCACGCCACCATCACCACGCCACCTCTCATCAAAGCTCTCACTCGTAGCGGAAACCTGTCGTCGCATTCTACAATCTTCTTAGGAAAAAGGCTGTTCTTGTTAGCTCTCAATACCTTCCTCCAGCAGTCGGCCCTATTAGAGAGAGCAGCCCTACCGCTTGATCAATCTACCATTTAATTCATTCTTTGACCCACTTCAGCGGCAGTCTCCGGAGCACCATTACCCCTGTAAATCTCTTTGAAGGACCCAAAACATCGTTGAGAACGTCCGTCATTTCTGTAGAGGGCTGCGAACGCAGTCAGTTCAACGTCGCAGTTGTGTCGTTTGGCCGTGGCCAATCCTAGTTTTTTAACCTACATAGTCTCCCTTCCTATTTTGCGCTTTCCCCTCTAAGCCGTCCCCTTCTTTCGCCGGGTTGGCAACATCGACCTCCGTTCCTCCCCCCTCAACCCCTTCCGCGGGTCCTTCCCCGCCGTCATCTCCTTAGTATAGCCGAGTTGTTTTCGCGTCAAGCCAGCACTCCCTCCGACCCTTAGCTCCACGGCAATCAATCAGTCAATCATCAGCTGCTGAACATCAGCTCGGCTAGAAGATCGGATCCCGACATGGACTCGGTCGACAACGGTCCAGACGCCAAACCAGCGAGAGGAAGTCGACCAGGTAGCCGCTCTAGCAGCCGGCCGGGCAGTCATTCCGGCAGCCGGCCCGGCAGTTTTAGCGGCAGCCCGCGCCACTCGTTCAGCCGATCCACCATGTCCATCGGCGGCGACCTCTACTTCACGCCAGACGGCTCCCCGACATCATCTTCTGCGGCGGGGGCGGCAGGGGCGCATCCCACGAAGATTAGCCCGGAGCGCCGACGAAGCAGTAATGGAGGCGGCGGCAACGGAGGAGGTTCGCGCCCGTCGGCGTCCGTCCCCTCGCGGCAAGCACGGCTGGACCGGCCGCCGCCATTGGTGCGGCCAATCAACGACCCCGAAACTCCAGACGCGGATCCGGAAAGCCCTTCATCTGGCGAGGAGCTCAGTGACGCGGACCTGATTGCCTATGGCTCGGGGCCGCGGTCGCTGCAGCCCACGACCTCGGGAATACCGTCCTCTCCGCCTCCGCTTCTCGCCGACCCACCCATCGGTGGCGACTACTTTTTCGGAAAGCACAGTCATCTCGAAGGCAGCTTCTCCGGCGGCGGCGGCGGTAGCCTTGGTGGCGGCGGCAGCCTCGGTGGCGGCGGCAGCCTCGGTGGCGGCGGCAGCCTCGGTGGCGGCGGCAGCCTCAGTGGCGGCGGCAGCCTCGGTGGCGGCGGTAGCCTCGGTGGCGGCGGCGGTAACGGCTCGCTCGCGGGTCCGAAGTTCCCGACGTTGGGCAGCGGGCTCGGACGGCCAGGCGCGAACAAGCCTACGCTCGTGATTCCGCCGGTTATGATCGACGGGGTGACGGTTCCGTCGCCCACGCCGCAGGAAGCGTCGCCGGATCCGGAAGACATGGCGCCGTCGCCCGCCCCGCTGTTCCACTGGCCGTTCGCCACCAACATGCCGATAATCTCGCCGGGTTTCACGCACCAATCTGCGCAACAACAGGCGCCAGGTTCCGCGGGGTTCACCCGCGGAGCGGCCACGCGCGCGGACGCGCTTGCGGCGGCCGCCGCCATCGTTGCGGGCCTTGGGGACGATACGATCGAGGGTGGCGGACCCATCGCGGCTCCGCCAACGCTTCCCCGGACGCTGTCGCGGGAAATGTCGCGCGAACTCTCCCGCGGGCTGTCCCGTGGCGGCGGCGGCGGTGGCGGAGGGATGGGGGAGATGGGTGGAGGGCTGACGCGGCAGCTGTCGCGCGCACTGTCGACGGAGCTGTGGGACATTCCGCTCTCCACCGTGCCGTCGCTGTTCTTTTCCGCCACTCCGCGCCGCCAAGCGCCCCCGCCGCCCGTCAACATCGGCGCGAATGTCACGGTTGACAGCAGCAAGGCACAAGTGAGTGGCGCACCGACGACTCTCCCCTTCCGCGCGTCGCTTCCGCTATCCCGAAAGGGCCCTTCCCCGACCATGTCGTCTCTCCTCCCCCTGTGTCCTGAACCAGCGGCCTAGACCAACTCGTTCCGAATCCGAATCCTTTCTTCTCCTCTCTGTTCTCTTCTCTCCTCTGTGCCGTTTCCCTTCCGCACGTGCAGAACACGTGGTCCGTGTCGCTGTGCGGCGCGTGCGGGCGTCACTCCACGTGTCTGTGCATGGAGGCCGTGCTGTGCCCGTGCGTCACGGTGGGCCGCGTCGCAGTGGCCGTCGATCCGGCCTCCTACTCGCACTGCGGCGCCTCCACGTGCTCCGCGCTGCTCTCCTGCCTCCTCTCCTGCCACGTGCGTGCCCTCTCCTCCTCCTCCACCTCCTTCTCCTCCTCCACCTCCTTCTCCTCCTCCTCCTCCTCGCCATCCTCCTCCTCCTCCTCCTCCTCCTCCTCCTCCTCCTCCTCCTCCTCCTCCTCCTCCTCCTCCTCCTCCTCCTCCTCCTCCTCCTCCTCCTCCTCCTCCTCCTCCTCCTCCTCCTCCTCCTCCTCCTCCTCCTCCTCCTCCTCCCATCACGGTCAATCGCTTCCTCGCCCTATGCTCTCCCGTCCTCTCTTCCCCTCTTGCCGTCTCGCGTTGCCTTGCTTCACCCACTGTTCTCCGCCTCCCCTCCCTCTCTTTCCCGCCCGCCCCGCGCAGCTCTACTCCGCGACCCTGCGCAACAAGGTGCGGGGGAAGTACGCTATCCAGGGCTCCGCGTGCGGGGACTGCTGCGCGCACTGCTTCTGCCACGCGTGCGCGCTCATGCAAGAGCTGCACGAGCTGCAGGTACGCCGCCCCGCCCCCACGCCCGCGCCCACGCCCCCCGTGTGTGCGGATGTGGCTATACCACGTGGGTGGACGGTCCGCTGACCCTTCCGGCTCCGGCGTCTGATCATTACGGCGCAATCTGCCTCGTTCCGGTTGCGTCTGCACCCGGTTCCTGATTTTGAGGCGCCTCAAAACTAGACTCTGATCATTCCGGCTCAATCTGGCTTGTTCCGATTACGTCTGCACCCGGTTCCTCTGGAGAACGGCCACGTCCTAGGCCTTCTCTCTGCTGCTCTCCCTATCTCTCCTCACGTTTGATGTGCCTACACCCCTCGCCCCTCCCCTCTGCACGGAGCAAACCGGCCAGCCGGTCTCTCTATAGCGCCTGCCCCTTTCTTTCAAGCCTTGCATGTCACTGCTGGCTCTTTTGTGTACCTTGTGTCCCGGTTGCATTAAGTCGCTTTCTAATCGACCTCCCTTTCTCCCTTCTGTGCCTTTCCTCCCTGTTCCCCACCCCCAATGATGTCTCTGCACGTACCCTCTTTCTGCCTCTCTATGCCTCTCCCTCTCTCTTTTGCCTCTCACTCTCGCGTTGCCTCTCACTCTCTCTCTTTGCCTCACTCTCTCTCTGCCTCTCACTCTCTCTCTGCCTCTCACTCTCTCTCTGCCTCTCACTCTCTCTCTGCCTCTCACTCTCTCTCTGCCTCACTCTCTCTCTGCCTCACTCTCTCGCTGCCTCTCACTCTCTCTCTGCCTCTCACTCTCTCTCTGCCTCTCACTCTCTCTCTGCCTCTCACTCTCTCTCTGCCTCTCACTCTCTCTCTGCCTCTCACTCTCTCTCTGCCTCTCACTCTCTCTCTGCCTCTCACTCTCTCTCTGCCTCTCACTCTCTCTCTGCCTCTCACTCTCTCTCTGCCTCTCACTCTCTCTCTGCCTCTCACTCTCTCTCTGCCTCTCTCACTCTCTCTCTGCCTCTCTCACTCTCTCTCTGCCTCTCTCACTCTCTCTCTGCCTCTCTCACTCTCTCTCTGCCTCTCTCACTCTCTCTGCCTCTCTCACTCTCTCTGCCTCTCTCACTCTCTCTGCCTCTCTCACTCTCTCTGCCTCTCTCACTCTCTCTGCCTCTCTCTCTCTCTCTCTGCCTCACTCTCTCTCTCTCTCTGCCTCACTCTCTCTCTCTCTCTGCCTCACTCTCTCTCTCTCTCTGCCTCACTCTCTCTCTCTCTCTGCCTCACTCTCTCTCTCTCTGCCTCACTCTCTCTCTCTCTGCCTCACTCTCTCTCTCTCTGCCTCACTCTCTCTCTCTCTGCCTCACTCTCTCTCTCTCTGCCTCACTCTCTCTCTCTCTGCCTCACTCTCTCTCTCTCTGCCTCACTCTCTCTCTCTCTGCCTCACTCTCTCTCTCTCTGCCTCACTCTCTCTCTCTCTGCCTCACTCTCTCTCTCTCTGCCTCACTCTCTCTCTCTCTGCCTCACTCTCTCTCTCTCTGCCTCACTCTCTCTCTCTCTGCCTCACTCTCTCTCTCTCTGCCTCACTCTCTCTCTCTCTGCCTCTCTCTCTCTCTCTCTCTCTCTCTCTCTCTCTCTCTCTCTCTCTCTCTCTCTCGCTCTCTCTCTCTCTCTCTCTCTCTCTCTCTCTCTCTCTCTCTCTCTCTCTCTCTCTCTCTCTCTCTCTCTCTCTCTCTCTCTGCCGCACTCTCTCTCTCTCTCTCTCTGCCGCACTCTCTCTCTCTCTCTCTGCCGCACTCTCTCTCTCTCTCTCTCTGCCGCACTCTCTCTCTCTCTCTCTCTGCCGCACTCTCTCTCTCTCTCTCTCTGCCGCACTCTCTCTCTCTCTCTCTGCCGCACTCTCTCTCTCTCTCTCTGCCGCACTCTCTCTCTCTCTGCCTCTCACTATCTCTTTGCCTCTTGTCTCGCTCCCCTCCATACCCACTCTTCCCTTCTTCTCCGTGTTCCAACCTGCTCTTTCCCTTCCTGCCTCGCCTTCCAATCCAACGTTGGCCTACTTACCAATGAATTCTCCTCTGGTCTACTTTCCTTGGCCCTTCATCCAAATCCCTTCATTACTGACTCTCTGGCAACATCTGGACTTTGCCTGACTTCTCCCGCGCCGTCATTTCTTTCACCGCACTTCCTCTCTCCATCATTCTTGGTCGAAATTTCTGGGCAATTGAGTCGCTCTACTGCTCTCCTTTCCACTTTTCTCTCGTCTGCGTCACTGCGTCACTGCCTCTGGGCTCCATTCTCCCATCCTCGCTCTTTTCCTCTCTACCTCCTTCCTGCGTGCCCAACCTTTGCCCTCTTTCGACCCTTCGTTTTGCCTGTTGTTTCGTCGCTCCTCTCTCTCTCTCTCTCTCACCCTCTCACTCTCTCCCCGCTCTTTGTCCTGTTCACCATCACCTGCCACACTACCCCTCCTATTTCACTCTCGGCTCGACGTGTTTCGTTGTCGGTCATTTCTGCATGCTACTCGCCTCTTGCCGCTAGTTCCTGCTTCTCTCTTGTATTCCTCTCTCTCCTGCCCCCGTCCCTCTCCCTATCCCTCCCTCCGCCCTCCCTCTCTTCTATCTCCCATTCTCGCGTCCCTTCCTCGCCCATCCCCTCTCCCTCGGTCCACCTACACACCGCATCACCGTCACCATCACCATGCGCATGGCATCAGGTGCACGGCGACGCGCCCTTCCAGGGCCACTCCAAGAAGGTGGCGCCAATGGAGCAGACCATGAGGCGAGTCACCTCCATCCCTGGCTGACACACACCAACCGAGCAGCACCGCCAGGATCAGCCTCCCTCCCTCCTCCACCTCCTCTTCAACCCTCTCCTTCCCCCCTTCTCCTCCTCCTCCTCCTCCTCCTCCGCCTACCCTCATTTCACCTACCCCAGCCATAAGCTCTCTGGCCGCCTGACTCCCTAGTCCCTAATCGCCCTCCCCCGCCTCTCTCCCTTGTACTCTAAAGCCGTAGGTGGGCATGTGAGTGGTGAAGAAGCAGCCGGACCGGGACAACACGCAGCAGCAGTGCTAAGAAGAGACCAGCGTATTGGAACCGCCCTGGTGCAAGGGCGTTCCTGCAGCCTCGGCTGGGGAGGCTTCAGCACTGTCTGCTGTGGCTTTTGTTCCTGAATAAGCTCACCTATGAGCCATCGCCGGAGGCAGCAAGTCCCTTCTTCCACTGTTTCCCAATCATAGTTTTTGCTTGTTTTCTATATCTTGCACCTCATCATATGTGACAACGTATCTAGATTTAAAAAAAACCTATGGATATCCGGTATTTGGTTACTAAGTTCTGTTGTGTTATGAGTGTTTAACCAGCGTAGCGCGGAATCGAACGTCGAGATTCAGAATAACAGAATGTAGTACAATGGAGTGACGAAGCAATATATAGGAACACCAGAGCAATCATAGCCGTGTGATCAAACAGGTTCGAAGAAGGCATCCGAGGACGCGGATCGCTTCGGAGGGACGCGGAAATGGTGCGCTGCCGTGTTCGGCAGAAGCTAGGGCGGATGTCGGTGCCGTGTGGGGTCGGTGTGTCAAACATACAAACATTGTATGTTACAGTAGACTATATAGGGTTGTGCCTTAGGGAGTACAACCCATTAGGCTATATACCCCTGTATGTCCTGTTCTAGTAAACTTTTCTCACTTTAACATGGTATCATGAGTAGGTAGGTCCCCCCCGGCCCCCCTAGCGCTTCCGCCCTAGGTCCTAGCCGCCCCGCACGTGCTGGCCTGTCTCCTAGCCAGCCCAGTCGCCTAGCTGGCCCCGTCGCCCAGCACGCCCCGTCGCCTAGCCGGACCCGCCTCCTAGCAGGCCCCGCCGTCCAGTCGGCCCCGTCGGCCCCGCCTCCTAGCTGGCCCCGCCACCCCATTGGCCCCGTCGGCCCTGCCTCCTAGCTGACCCCGCCGCCTAATCGGCCTCGTCCGCCCCGCCTCCTAGCTGGCCCGCCGCCCCAACGGCCAAGTCGGCTCCGTCGGCCCCGCCCACTAGCTGGCCCTGCCGCCCCATCGGCCCTGTCAGCCCCGGCTCCTAGCTGGACCCGCTGCCCCATCGGCCCCGTTGGCCCTGTCGGCCCCGCCTCCTAGCTTGCCCCGCCGCCCCATCGGTCCCATCGGCCCCGCCTCCTAGCTAGCCCCGCCGCCCATATCGGCCCCGCCGTCCTAGCCGGCCCCGTTCCCCTAGTCGGCCCCGCATCCTAGCCGACCCCGACGCCTAGCCGGCCCAATCGCCCGATCGGCCCCGTCCCCCTACTGGCCCCGTCGCTTTGCCGCCCGCAGCTCCGTCTCCTAGCCGCCTCGCCGCCGTCCTCGGCCCTCTGCACCGCGCGGCACTGCCCGGTACCGCTCTGCACCGCACAGCACCGCATTCCACCGCTCTGCACTGCACTGCACCGCATTCCATTGCACTGCACCGCACACTACCGTACTGCACCTCCCCCTACCGCATAGTACCGCACTGCACTGCACATCATCGCTTTCCGCCACCATCTACTGGCCTGTACTGTCCTTCTCCTGCTGCTGTAACCATGATGGCGGACTCGGTCCTGTGTTTCGATGCAGAGGGGCAGCCGATTGAGTTCGACTCGTGGCTCGTCGACCTCCAACGACACCTGACTGGTCTGCGGCAGGACGGCCACTCCATGACCGTCCACATCGACGGTACACTCCTCTGCCTGGACGCCCCTGCTGCCCTCCCCGCTGACCCCACCTCCGCTGACCGTGAGTCCGCGGCAGCTGCTGCCCTTGCTCGTGCTGTCTGGTTGTCGCATCACGCTGTCGCTCAGCTTGCGATTAGTCACGCCCTTCCCCTGTCCGAGCGCCCCCACTTTAGGTAAGTTAGGACTGTGCAGGAGTTCCTAGAGGCTGTTGTTGCACGCTATTCCACCCCGCCCTCTACCTCCGTAGGGCGCCTGATCCTGCCCATGCTGTTTCCTGACCTTGCGTCTTTCCCCACTGACGCTGACCTAGCCGCCCACCTGCGCACGATAGACACGACCTGGCGCGCTGCCTGCATTGAGGCCCAGCTTCGTGTGTTTCAGCCCCACATCTACGTTACCCTCTACCTACTTGCCACCCGCCTCCCTGACCGCCTTGCCACCGCCCGCAATCACTTCCTTAGCCTCCACCCCTCTGATCTCACCCTCACTGACTTTGTCGACACCCTCTCTGACGTAGAGACCCGTAAGTGCTCTATCGCCCAGTCTAGCGGTACCGTGTTAGTCTCTATCTTTCGGGGCTGTGCCCTTGCTCAGTGCTCTTACTCCGACGGTTCTGCGGCGGTTGCTGAGACGGCTCCGGCTGTGGAGACCGCCCCTGCCGTGCAGTTTTGTTTGGGTAAGGGTCGCCGCCCCAAGGCTGGTCGTGGCGGAGGTAGCGGAGGAGGGGGTGGTGCCGGTGGTGGAGGTGGCTCGCCTGCTGGTAGTCCTGACGAGGGGGATGGGGCTGGTGCCCCGGCGCAGTAGCCTCAGCAGCAGCAGCAGCAGCAGCAGGCACCACAGCTGGACTAGCAGCAGCAGCAGCCACAGCTGCAACAGCAGCAGCAGCAACAGCGGGTCGGTCGTCTTCCGCCCGTGTGGCCTGGAGCTGGAGGTGATGGTGGTCGCAGTGGTCGCTCGCGCGGTGTGCCATCGGGTGGTGGCTAGCGTGACGGGCGCTGCCAGTACCAGCTCCAGACTGGTCCTCGTCGCGGCCTTGTGTGCGGTAAGATTGGCCATACCCCTGCTTGTTGCTTTCGTCGCCTAGACAACCTGTTTCGTCTCCACTTCGGCCCATCGCCTGACCTCTCCGACTGGCACAGTCTCCTCCGTCGTCTGGTTCAGATCTTTGATATGGACATGGATGAGATTAGCTCTGCTTTGTATGCGATGCATGTTGATGACTCTAGTGTGACTGGTTCCTATTACCCTGTATTGCCTAGCGTAGGTGTGCCCACTGTGCCTAGTTATGGCTCCCCTGCTGCGTCAGGAGTAGGATCCCCTGCCTTGTTTAGCCTAAGGTCTATCCTCGCTCCTCCAACCTTGGTCGCTGCTGCCGCGCTCTCCTTCACCCTGGACTCCGGCGCTTCCCGGTGTTTCTTTCGCGACTCCACTACACTTACGCCGCTTGCCCCTCCGGCTGCAGTGGCTCTTGCAAACCCTTCCTCCAGTCCTATAGTTGCCCGTACCTCCACTACTCTCTCCTGTCCGGCGGTTCCCTCAGTCTCCCTTACAGGCCTGCACATCCCCTCGTTCTCTCTGAGGAACCTAGTTGGTGTCGGCTGCCTTCAGGACCTTGGCGTCACCACTACGTTCCATAGGCACGAGTGGTACGCTGTCTGTACTGAGGCCGCCACTGGTACCCCCCTCACCACGTTCCCCTGGGACCCGGTGTCTGGCCTGTTCACGCTGGACACCACGTCCCCCCCGGTTGGGGTGCCTCCCCGGGTACCTGTGTCTTCCCAGGTTGTTGCGGCGTGCTCGTGTCGGTCGCTTACTCAACCGTCACTTCTGTGGCACCACCGTCTAGGTCAACCCCGCCCTCACCCATCTCCATCACATGTCCAAGCACCGTTTTGTCCTAGGCCTCCCTGAGTCGTTCCCTACGCTCCCCTCCTCACCCGCACCTCCGTGCACGCCCTGCATCGAGGGCCAGCTCCGTCGTGCCCCTCACTCGTCCTCGTTCCCCCCTACCTCCACACCGCTGCAGACCCTGCACATGGACGTCTGGGGCCCCGCCCCCGTCCATGGGCCGAGTCGCGAGCGCTACGTCCTATTGCTTGTCGATAACTACACCCACTACACCACTGTATTTCCCCAGGAGCGGAAGGCCGACGTGCCTGACGTTCTTCTCCCGTGGCTTGTCTCTGCGCGTGTTCACTTCGACCGTGGTGGCGAGTTTGCCTCTGGCTGCCTTGGTTGCTTCTGTCGTGCGGAGGGCATCACCTTGACGTTCACCCTGCCAAACTCCCCGCAGCAGAATGGGGTCGCTGAGACGCATCGGCTTGGTCATGAAGGTTGCTCGTACCTCCATGATCCATGCCAGTGCACCCCATTTTCTGTGGTCGTTCGCCGTTTGCTACGCCACTCACCAGTTTAACTTCTAGCCGCACCCTCAGCGGTCGCACGTTTCGCCAACCCTCCTCTGGACCGGGTCCCCTAGTGACGCGTCTGCGTTCCACGTCTGGGGCTGCCTTGCTCACGTTCGTGCCTCTGGCACGGACAAGCTCACTGCCCGCACTATCCCTTGTGTCTTTCTAGGTTTCCTCCTCGACTCGTCGGACTGGCAGTTTTACCACCCGCCTTCTCACCGGTTCTTTCACTCTCGTGACGTCACTTTTGACGAGTCCGTCTCCATCTACCACCGCTTTCCCCACCGTGGTCCCTCGGTCCCTCCCCCCCAGTTCTTGGTGCCCCCCCCTCCACCGGTCGACCCTGTCCACCTCCCTTCCCACCCTGCTCCATCTGGTGTGTCTCACATCACCCCCCTCCCGTCGGTTGTTCCTGCTGAGGAGTTCGCTGACTCTCGTGGCTCGGCGGAGTCTCTTCACCCACCTGTCCCTACCCCGGTCTCGCCTCCCCTGTCGCCGCCGCAGCCGCTGCCGCCGCAGCCGCAGCCGCGGTTGTCACCGCCGCTAGGGTTTGTACGTTCTAGGAGTGTTGGGGAGCAGGCTGGAGCTGGTTCTGGTGCGAGCTCTGGGGGTGCTGGAGTGGGGCTTCTCGGAGGGAGCCGTGCTGTCGCTGGGGGTTCTGGTGTTGGAGTTGGGCAGCAGTTGCAGCTGTCGCTGCCGGTGTCCGCTCTTCGCCTCCTCGGTCTCCCTTCCCCTGACCGTTGGACGCTACCTCCCTTGCCTCCTCCTCTGCCGATCCACAGCCCCGTGTTTCCTCCCACAGACTCCTCTCCGTCTCGTTTCCCTACCCGTTCTCCTCCAGTGTCTCCTCCCCTCTCTCCTGACCCAACTCCTCCGTCTCACGTCTAGTCTCGTCGTCCGTCTCGATCTTGTCCTACCTCCCTTGTTCCGCATTTTCACCCTATGTTGCTTCACTCTCACGCGTCTCGTGCTCCTCCCCTCCTCCCGTCTCCTCCTCCGTCGTCGCTTGCTGTGGCCCCGCCTCCTTTCTCGGACTTCCTCCGTGTTGCGCATTCCCTTGTTCCTCATGTCTGTGCCTGTCTCGTTACCGACCCATCCGTTCCTGTCTCGAGCCTGTCGGCTCTTGTCGCTCCTGTCACTGACTTCGCCGCTACCCGCCACCTGGACTATGCCACCGCTCTGGTCTCTGACCTTGCCTGC